CCCCCCCCGGCTCCCCGCCCCCACTCACCGATGGGCACCAGCGGGTTCTCGCGGCTCTTGCGCAGGAACTTGTCCCGGAACCCCTCCCGGTGCACGGGGGTGGGGATGAAGCCCTCGATAAGGGGGGGGCTGCTGGGGTCAAAGGGCGGCGGGGAGCTCTGAGCCATGGTCACCACTCCCGCGAGCAGCACAGGAAGGTGACTGCCAAGGAGCCTCCTCAGCCACCGTACTTGGAACGGAAGTCAATTGCAGCCGTGGGACTACATATCCCAGCAGGCCATACGGTTGCAGCGGTCGTGTTAGCGCAAGGCCTTCTGGGATATGTAGTCCACCCCAGACCGGGCCCTAGCGAAGGTCTTAGGGAAGCCCTCACGGTAGAACTACATTTCCCATCACGCCCAGCGCTCGGCCCAGCCCGGCGGCCCTGGGGTCTCTGACTGCGGCCGCGTGAGCTCGGAGCCGCCGCGATGCCGAAAGCCAAAGGGAAAAACCGGCGCCAAAAGTTCGGCTACAGCGTCAACCGCAAGCGGCTGAACCGGCAGAGCCGCAAGCGGGCGGCGCCCCGTATCGAATGGTGAGTGGGCCGGGCCGGGCCGGGCCGGGGAGAGGAAGGGCTGGGGGGGAGCGGGGGGATCTGGACCGAGCGGAGCGGAGCGGACCGGGCCGTAGCCTGGGCCGGAGAGGAGGTGGGACTGGGGGGGAGCGGGGGGATCTGGACCGAGGGGAGGGGCTGGGGGAAGAGGAAGGAAACGCTGGGAGGGGGGAGCGGGCCGGAGAGGAGGAGGGACTGGGGGGGAGCGGTGGGATCTGGACCGAGGGGAGAGGGTGGGCCCCTGCCGTGGGGCAGAGTGGGCAGTATTCTGGACTCCATTGGTGGTTAGGCCGTGCAGTGGGTCGGGGGGAGGCTGCGCCCCTCGGGACAGCCCCCCCCCCCCACTAGGGTGCGAGCCACCCCATAAAGGGGTCACCGGTACTGCATGAGAATTAAAGACCCTGCTCCTGGGAGTGTCTGCCCTGGTCGCAGAGGGGGTGGAAGTGTGGGGTTTCCTGAGGTTCCTCTGGCCAGACACAGGTAGTGGGAACAGGGCTCTTGCTGCATGGATGGGCCATTGATTGATGTGGTGATGGGTGTGAAATAGCCACTTTCCTCCCACTTTTGTCTCTGGCCAGCTCCCACATCAGACATGCGTGGGACAGAACCAAATCCGTGTCTCAGAACCTGGCTGAAATGGGGCTGGCTGCAGACCCCAACAAGGCGATTCCCATCCGGAAAAGGCAGCTACCGGTAAGTACAGCATAAGAGAAACACACTTCTCCCAAGTATCAGAGGGGTAGCCGTGTTAGTCTGGATCTGTAAAAAGCAACAGAGAGTCCTGTGGCACCTTATAGACTAACAGACATATTGGAGCATAAGCTTTCGTGGGTCTGACAAAGTGGGCATTCACCCACGAAAACTTACGCTCCAATACATCTGTTAGTCTTAAAGGTGCCATAGGACTCTCTGTTGCTTTTTACACTTCTCCCAAGAGGCTAAACCCCATGGATCAAGAGGGGGCCCAAGGAGTGGAAATGAACATAAGGGAAAACATCAGCTGGGTTATCTGGCAACACTCCCCAACTTGGATGGGTGACAATTCTCCAAGGGCACTGGTGGATGCCCAGTCACAATAGGAGACCCCTAACTAGACTGGACAAGGTACTAGAAAATCTGCCCTGCCTTGGTCCCTGGTGTGTGGACTCAGTGGGGTCTGCCATCTTGATTCTTTCTCTAGTGAGTGTGTGTGTGTGGAGAGGTGGGGGTGGCAATGCAGGGAGAGCTTACGCGCATGTGCAAGGAGCTGCTGTCTCTTTTCCTTGGGGATTCGTTAGCGAGGGGCAGTGGGGTTAGCCTGGAGACGCTTCACTTGGCTCAGAGGGGCAGAAAGCAGAGATCAGTCCCCCTCTTTGTTAAAGCAGATGCTGTCAGGCCAAACTTGGCCCTAGCAAATATTGTCACAGGGCTTGTGATCAAAAACCTGAAAGCATCTATGTTCACATAGGCATTTCCTCAACTTGGGCAGTGACTCTAGGCCAGCCAAACGGCATAAGAAGTGAAGGGTAAATGAGGCTTTTCAAACGCCGAGGTGGTCGTAGTTACATGGACTAGGAAATGTGTTTAAGCCGGTCAGTGGTGCAATGGCTGGCTGGGGAAGGAACAGCCACCAAGGCCATGTCTGGATGCATGAGCCCCAGGTGAATGGAGTTTTCTTGAGCGGTCTCATCTCCCATTCAATGCAGGTGATGGACATGGAGGTTGATGGCCAAGACAAAGGGAAGAGAGTCGTGCAGAAGCCTTACGTCCTGGACGGTTGGTACCACCTTCCTCTGGTTCGACGAGCGCTCGCTTTGCTGGCCGCAGCAGCCTCTGGGCACTGCAGTTCCCACTGTGCTCGTTTCCTGCGAACGAGGTGCAGCTCTCAGGCTCCTGGGTGGGTTGGTAACTTGCCCTCAATTGGGCAAAGCTTGGGTATTTGCTCTTGCAGTAGGCACCCTTCAGCCGGGGATTACGGATCCCTGCTGTGCCACGACTCTGGCATTTGTTCTTATGGAGCCGCTGCTTTGCCACCAATGTCAGAAATGGCTTTAGAGCTCTCTTGTGGGGGCAGCCAGCAGAGGGAGCTCAAGTAGCCAACAACCCCTGTTCCTAGAGCGGAGCTACCACTGGTTCATGTGCTCTGCCCTGTGCCCTAGGGGAGGATCCGTCTGATGGATTCCCCTCCCCACTCCTCTGGGCCTTGCCTTGGTTCTTCTCACCAGGGAGAGCTCTGATCATTCTCCGAGACCCACTCATCTCTGGTGCTCTTTGCAACAAGGAAACAAAGAGGCAAAGCCTGTTGGCTTGTGGTCACATCAAAAAGGGGGTGGGTGAAAGCTGGTTTCTGTAGCAGGACTACAAGCCCCCAGGAGCATCCTGCAGCAGCAGCTCCTCCCCTCTGAGGCCTCGGAGACGTAGTAGCGTGTGGCTGTGAGGTGGGAGATGACAGTTGCGCCTACAGGCTGTTAGGGAGACTCTGTCCCATAGTGATGTGTGAGCTGGACCTTGGCCCAGCTGGGTTTCGGAGTCATTCGCCCCTGAACGTCACCAGCCGAAGCCCTCAAAGCATCTGCTCTGGCAAAAGCATCAAAGGCCCTGCCAGCTTCTGTCCCTGGCTTGGGATTTAATCGCTTGATCTCTGCTCCCCCAGCCAGGGCATCTCTCTTCATGCCAACCCTCCTGCCTGCTCTCAGATCTGAGCACTGGAGCTGGCCACTGAGCCGATGAGGCAGACACACATCACATGCGGTAGGCGGCCTTGAGTCTGGGAACTTCGAACGCGTGTTCTCTGCTCTAAGCCACTGAGCTGCAGTGCCCCGGGTTACTAGGTGTTGGTGTCTCTGCCGCCACGAACGGGGAGTGGCCATTAATGCGGGACGTGTCCCTGAGATAGACTAGCCACTGCCAGTGACGATGGCTCAGTCTCATTTCCACAGATACTAGGTCAGGGCTCCTTAGAAACACTGCATGGTTCTGTCTCTTGTCTGCCTGCGTCACTGTGTCTCTGCTTGCGGTGCCTAGAGCTGGAGTATGAGGCCAGCCTCCCGGAGAAGAAGTCGGAGACGCTCTCCAGAGACCTTATCGATTATGTGCAGTACATGGTACGGAACCATGGCGAGAACTACAAGGTGGGTGGTCCCTGCCTTTGCGGGGCGAGGGTTGGAGGAGGTGTCTGGGAGCCTCTGCCTCAGTGCTTGTGGCCAGTGGGAGAGCGACAGGGCAACCCCATCACGGCAACTTCTTAGCCATTGGGGGGGCGGGGCGGCGAGAAGCAGCCAGAGGTGTTCCGTGCCCTGGAGCCTGCATCCCAGTCTGGTGGCTCTGTCAGGGAAGTGGCTCTTTGAATCTCCTGGTTTGCATCTGAGTCACCTTTGGGCTGCATGAAACTTCACCCAATCTCTAACCACACCTGCCTGTGAGTGGAGTCGGGTGGGTGGCTCGAGGTGCCACCCCTGTGCTGCGTGCAGCCGGCCGTGGAGGTGCTTGTTCTTGGGCTGTGGGGGTCTCCTGGATGTCTGCTCCATCCAGCCCCCACGAGGCAGCTTCCCTGACTGTCCCCTCTCCCCACCCCCAGGACATGGCTCGCGATGAGAAGAACTACTACCAGGACACGCCCAAGCAGATCAAGAGGAAGATCAGTGTGTATAAGCGCTTCTACCCGGAGGAGTTCCAGGCTTTCACTGCATCCCTGCAGCAGGTCAAGATGGACCAGCAGTGACTGCTCCCACCCTGCCCTGTTGGACCCACCCGCAGCTGCAGGTCCTGTGCTGCCACTCCCCAGGCAACCCAGGGAAGATTGTCTCTGCCTGCTGGTGCCATTTCACCCTTCGCAGGCTGGGGCTCGCTGAACTAGAAGGTGGGAACGAGCGTGCGCTAGAACGGGCCCCTCCGTACGGCTGCTGAGGAGTCAGCTGCTGCCTCACCCTAGTGGGGGCGAAGGGAAGAGACCGTCTCTTGTGTCCTGCAGCTCCGAGTTACAATAAACCAGCGTGAATACACCCGAGTGCAGCTGGCTCCAGCTCCTGCCTGCACTGTGTGGAGTCGGGGTGGCCCCGGCGCTGACCCAAGGAAGTCATCATTCTGGGAACTGCTCTGGTTCTTCACGGGTGGTGCTGTGGCCCCCTGCCCGGTGCAGCCATGGGGCGGGATTGTTCACAGTCCCCACGCAGGAGTCCACAGGGCTTTGCTGCTCTCTGCTTCGGAACAGCAGCCCTGGGACTGGGAGGGTGCTGCCTTTCCTCAGCGCTACACGTTCACCTGCCGGGACGCACACTTGCCCTTATCTCTACAGAGTGATACTCGGGCCTCCGGGGGTCAGGAGCCAGATTAGCGATCAGCGGTACCCCAAAAGCCACAGTCGTGTGAATTCATTGTTCCGTTTACTATCGTACTCGTCGTATTTAAACAGTCTGACAGGGAGAGATTTCGTTTTTATAGGTTATTCTCACAGCAAAACGACTGACCAAGTATTTTATCAGCTGCAAGTGGTTAATCTAGTAAAAGCATCCTGATTGGTTAATCCTGACGTCAGGTGCTGC